GTCGTCGTCGTAGTAGCAGCAGTAGCAGTAGCGGTAGCTGGAGTAGTAGTGGTAGTAGTAGTCGTCGTCGTTGCATGCCTGTGCTAAATGACATTAATCACTAGCTCGAACAAAATGGTCACCAGCATCTTCATAATAACAGCCATCAGAAACCTTGCATGTTGCCGCACTCCAAGACAATCCCTGGCACGCGCTTCTGCTGAGCCGCATTGTTCGTGAAGCAGCCTGGATAACGTCCAGCATGACTGGCCTAGCAGCAGGGAAGGCGGTCGAAGTTTGAGTTGCGGATTTTTGAGCTCGGTTCAAGGTTCAGGGTTGAACTCATCCTTTTACCAGGAGCAGCTTGAAGCAACAAACTGAAAACTCCACAACAAAGTGCTCAATTGCACCATCCTTCAGATTTCTCCGAGCTGCGATGGAGAGCATGGCACCAATGTCCCCCAGCGTGGCACCCCCACCTGCTGCAAGGTCATCTTCGGCAGGTCCCACCTGATTGCTCCAGCATAGCGGGTTGGGGTTTAGGCTTCGGGCTTCGGATGTGAGGATTGTGATTTCGGGTGTCGGGTACTAGTACTTGTGGAGATGGCTCCATATGGGTCCTCTAGATTTTGTTCGAGGTAGCTTGCCCTACTGCTCAGCAGCTTTTATCATGAAGCAGCTTGGCTGCCAAAGGATATCTTTGCAATGTCTGCTTTTGCTGAGTGGGCTGCCTGCCCATAGATGTAGTCCACCAGATCTGGAACGGTGGGGTAGTCGAACATGAGAGTCGAGGACCTCTGCAACCACAGTTAGTCAGTTCAGTACTGTTCATCCAACTGCAGAAACATTTGTAGCTGAGGCAATCACAGCTGCAATCCTTCAAAAGATGCTTGGAGCCGATTGCGGAACTCGACGCCAGCCAAGGAGTCCAAACCTAGGGAGGTGGTTGCAAAAAATGTCCTTCGTCCGATGGAACAAGGCATCACCACATAGCTGGTGTGAAGCCTCCTTCGCCCTGGAACGTTGTCAACATGAAGTGCTGCAATCGCACTGACAGAAAACCAAGCTGAGTAAATTCTGGGACAAGGAGCCCATCTCCATCAAAGGTGTGGACAGATCCAGGTCACCCTCCCCTTCCAACACATCCTGCACACTGTCACCGGCAATGCAAACGCCGAAACACAATCGATACTAATCTGGATAAAACTTACATGTTGCAGCTACTGCAGCAAATCGCTTGCCTCGACTCTACAAAGCATGTCGGGATCAGGGCAGCGGTCGGTAGTCCTGAAGGACGCCGACAACCACACCCTTGATGTCATCGGCGCTCACCTCGTTTGATCGCTGTTCAGCCCGGTCAAGAGAGTGCCCAAGCAACAGGTGCTACCTGTAGTGCAGCTCAGGTGCGACTGCGCCAGCTGCAGCAGCCGAGGCTTTCTTTGGACCACTGCTGCCACCGAACTTGCTCAGCACCTCACAACCGGCGAATGCCAGCTAGCACCAGATCCAACCCGAAACCGCGAAAGAGTACTGTAGGTCTCCGACCGGTGGGACTTTGGGCATCTGCCCCAGGAGCGACTTCCACTTGATGCGGGCAATGCCCAGCGTACCTTTCAAAGAGGCTTTTCCTTCTCATGGTACTAGCTCTGCTTCTACCTGTCTGCCCGCCACTGGATTGAAAATTCTTCCTTGTACTCGTACTCATAGTGCTCGTAATGCTAATCATCCTCTTTTGCGACCTTTCTTGACGGATGCACTAGCACTAGCTCTAGTAGCAGTGTTGTTGTGCTGGTGTTGGTGGCGGTGGTGTTGCTGTTCTAAAGCCGCTAAACTCCAAGCCTCTGACCTGAAAGAAAAGACTGAGAATGCTTAATTACCTCAAACCCCTGACCCCGAACCCTCAACCCTGAATCAACCCTACACGGACCCTAAACAAACCCTAAACTGCCCTAAACCATCTATAACCCTTAACTACCAAACCTTGGCCATCAAGCCCTTATAACCCTAATCTGGACGCTTCAGGAGCCTTGCCTGCGGGTTTGAGGAGACTCGATGCTCCGAGGACCAAAGCCATCGCTTCGAGGCCCCTTTCAGGATCCAGGCGGGCGATGCTGCCTGTAACATGCAAGGTTGCTTTTTTAGTTTAGGGTTTAGGGTTATCTCTAGCCTCTGGAATCTGTAACATCCAAAAGCTTAGGGAGTAGGGTCTCTGGTTGAGGCCTTTGGGCTGTTTGCTGCTGGGCTTCTGTGTTACCTGCAGGGGCCGGATGCACGTCGGGGTGGACAGGGGGTAAACTCCGAGGTTTCATTAGCTTCACTCAGTCATCCGGCAGCAAGCGCTGAAGAAGAGGAACAGGAATAAGAGCGACCGTCTGACAGCTGAAGGAACTACAACGAAAACATTGGCGATCACGACGACAGCCACGACGACAACGAATGATCACAAACCCTACAGCCTAAACCCTAAACATCGGCTGATGGGCCTTCGGATGTTCCGGCCCTTGCCGCCATGCCCACGTCTGCCCAGGGGCCCCACTGCAAGGAGATGGCCGGCAAGTTGCGTGCCCGCCGCCGTGCACCCATGGAATCCATGAAAGCGTTGGCAGCACAGTAGTTACCTCGGGACAGCTGTGGCATGCCAACCAAGTCTGACCGCTCCCTGATTCCATCAAACTGCATCAAATTCTGCCAGGAAGCCCTGTGCAACGGACCCGATCATGGCGGCCACAGAGGAGAACAGCCACATGAACTGCAAGGCACGGACAGTGCTCTACTGGAGTGCAGCACGGCCCCTTCAGAAGCAACTTCCCGGCCTCCAGCGGTAGATCCAGCTGATCTGCCGCATTGTGAAGCTGGAGGGAACCATCCACCTTTCCAAGACGGCACACACTCCTTTTCGGTACCAATACTAGAACACCACTGACTACTGGCATCACGGCATCAAGCTGTCAAGGTAAAGGCGCCTTGGCCGAGCACACTGTCTTCAAGGTCGTGCGGTCCTGGCCATCTTTGATGAGGCCATCAGCCAGGGTGCCGGCAGCGTGCACAATGCCCTTGACCACATGCTTCTCGTCTAGCACTTGCGTTGTCACGCGCAAGACATCGGCACCGGAGCCGATGTCGCACTTGCGGGCGGAGAAGGTCACGCCCTTCATCTTGGCCATCTGCTTCTCGAGCTTTCGGAAGGCGGCTTTGGAGTCCGCGGGCGGTTGGCCGCTTCGGGACAGCAAAGCGAAGTGCCGCGCCCCGCAGCGGACCATCCAGTCGACAAAGAGCAGGCCAAGGGCTCCGGTTCCACCTGTGACCATGTACATCCCATCGGACCCGAAGCTCGGATTCCCAACCTCGTTCTGCAGCCTCTGGGTCGAGTCCACAAGCCTTGGCACCAGGAGCTTCGCGTCCCTCCGTGCCGCGAGCTCCGGCTCGGCGAGGCCAGCGGCCCGCTGCTTTGAGAGGTATTGCAACCTAGGTTCCCCAGTAGCAACTTAATAATAAGGGTACCCTTTTTCCTACTATTTGGTTTTTATTGGGGAGCCCAAAAAGAAAAAGGGCAAAAGGGTACTACTGGGGAACCTAGCAACTGCGCGGCCAGGCCCGAGGCCGAGCAATCCGCCTCCTCCAAATCCAAGGTCACCGTGCTGGCGAGCTCTGGGTGCTCGTTGCGGAAGGCCTGCATAGGGGACATGAAGTGACGCAGGTCACTCAATTCAAGTGACTCCACGACGGGTGGGGAATACTTCTAAAGCTCCAGGCCTTTGCAAGGCCCCAGATTCCTGCATGGCTTGCGGGAAGCCTTGCCGATGCCGAAGCTAGATCGCCATCTACAACGGCATTGCCCAAGCAAATCGGAAGCCAGAGCTCCGGCATGCCATCAGCACCGTCCTGAAGACAGAGACTCAGAAGAAGCTCGACTCGACTTTTCAATCAAGGCTCAATCGGCTCAATGACTACATTGAAATCTAGGGTCCTCCTTGGCTGCCTGGGCCATGGCTTGCATCAGCCGCAGCGTGCGATCGAGCACATCCAAGACTTCAGCAGCGGCCGCAGTTGCGTTGTTCGGCAAGGCTGCGATGCCCGCGATGTTGATCACCCTGCGCAGATTAGAGCACTCTCCAAAAAACATCTCCACATACTGGCGATGCTGGCTACAAGTACTCTCCTTACGTCAGTAGGTCAGAGCCTGGAGTAGTCGTGCATCTTGCCCCACTCTGCGGAGGTGTCAAGGCTCGCGAAGCAATGGTTGCTGCCGAGAAGAGACTTCAGCTCATCCAAGAAGCCTTGTGCGAAACAAGTGCGTGAGAAGGAAGCAGCATAAGAAACTGCTGACACTCCTCTTGTACGAGACGCGCTCTTCTAGGTATTCATGTCAGGCAGCCCTGCGATGCTTTGTGGTAGAGGACAAGCCAGCGCTCTTCAGGTGCGTCCGCGCTCTCCTCGACTTCGGTCGCTGCCTGCCATTCGATCTCGTAGATCTTCTGGTCCTCGGTCTTGTCTTCGGAAGAGAGGAGAGAGCAAGAGGAGAGAAGGAGGGATGTGGAGGGGGCATTCCTTGCGTGCTCTACGTTCTAAGTTCCCAGAGCTCCGAGGCTGAGCGGCATCTTCCGGAGTTGACTGCGCGGCGATCGCCATCTGGATCTGCTCGGGCAGCACCTTGCGGAAGACCACGTTGTCCATGAGCATCAGCACGGTGCCGTTGCTGGACATGACCTTCATGCCAGCAAGCGTGAGCAAGCGGTCTGCAGTGAGAGGAGGCCTACAATATCTAGAGAGAAGAAGGGAAGACAGGCAGCCAAGGAGAGCCAGAGCTCTAAAAAGAAGAGAGAAGAAGGAAGAGGCCGGAGAGAATCCGATCCTTCCGGCCTTGAGGTCGAAGGTTTCTGAAGCCTCGAGCTTCTCCTTGATGCTCAGCCAGATCCAGTACTCGTCCTGTTGAGAGAAGTTTTCACTTTGGATGATGGAGACGCGGCCCACACCACCGAAGATCTTCAGGTCATTTACGTTCTTACCAACAGACGCCGTTCCCAAGCTGTGAATCGTACCATCGAAGACTGCCGGATGTAGGACATAGCCAACGTTCGGAACGCCATCGTCCAGCTTCAGACGTCCCAAGACCTCAATGACCTTGCTCTCACTGTCCTCATCCGGCTCTTTGCGCCACAGCTGCTTTGCTGTTTGGAACATTGGACCCAGATACAAGCCCACACCATCAATGGCAGCATAGACATCTTTCGTAGGAACAACCTCAACCACACGAGCCTTCAAAGACTCGAGGTCGACCGGCGTGGCTTTGGCCGCGTTGTCCACCTCCGCTTCTTCGCCCCTGGCAGGGGCGCGGTTGATGCCGCCCTCGGCGTGAACCGTCACGGTGCCTGTGGCCGAGGTGCTTTCGATCTGGAAGCGGGTGTCCGACTTGAGGACGAAGCGCATGATCGCCGCAGGCTCAGCCCCGGTTGTTCGAATCGGGATGACGAAGGGGAACATCATGTTCACGTCCGTGATGCGCACTCCGGCGCCAAAGAGCTCCCTCGTGGCCTCCAGGGCCATCTCCACGAAGACCACGCCCGGCACCACGATGGAGCCAAAGACGACGTGGTGCTTCACCACCTCAGGAAAAGCGATGGAGGCCTAAAGGCCCACGGGTTGGCACTAAGTCCTCCACCCTTCTCCGTAAGTGCATCCCCTGAGTTTCTGGAAGGGTCAGACAACCCTTTGCTGAAGCAACCCGAAAGCAGCTGTTTACTTGAGAATCCACTACAGTACAAGTACCGATATGATCCTGGCGGCACACACCTTTGAAAGAACGTAAACGCCTGGCCTGGCTAGGACCTTAGAAAGAAACGAAACAACAGCATTCAATTCAATACGAACCAGGCGAAGAAAGGGCCTCGTAGACGTCCATGCGCATTGCCACTTCAAAGATGCCTTCACTGGGCTTGGCTCGCAAGAAGCGGTAGCCCACCTCTCGCCACGCGAAGTTTCGGCGCTCGAACGCCATGGGCAAGGGCCTTGCCGGTGCTGTGGCCTCCTTGCGGGCCAGCTCCATGCGGAAAGCTTCACCTGCCTCCGTCGCTGCAGACACGACTCCATGCGCATTGGTTCCACCGAATCCAAAGGACGAGAGGCCTCCTCCCAAGCGCGAAACGTGGCCCTTGCCTTGTGCCATCTCGCCGGCCAGCTTGGAGATGCACACGGACTCGGTGACAAAGATGCCCGGGAGATCGTGCAAGGCTGCCACGCTAGGATTCAGCTGGCGAAGATGCAACGAAGCCATGGAGGCTGCGTGCTCCATCATCACAACAGACTTGATGAGGCCTGTGGAGGCGGCCGGTCCTTCCAAGTGTCCACAGTTGGACTTCACCGCTGCAAGGACGATTGGTGTTTCAGCACTTCGGGAAGCATTTACAGACTTGATACCACCAATCTCAATGGGGTCACCCAGTGGAGTCCCGGTGCCATGACACTCCATGTGGACGATCTCCTGCGGTGCCAGCCGTGCCTCTGCCAGCGCAATCATCATGACCATGTGCTGAGAGGGGCCATTTGGCGCCGTCAGTGTGGAGCTCCGACCATCTTGGTTCACAGCCACACCCAAAAGCGCACATCGCTCCAAGCTGGCGGAGGGTGTCTGGACGGTCGCTGCAGCAGAGATTGCATCTTCTGGCTTACGAAGCACGACAGCTCCGGCACCCTCGCCTCGGGCATATCCGTCAGCTGACGCATCGAAGGTAAAGCAGCGCCCCTTTGCCGACAGCATTCGTGGCTTGCTGAAGCTGATATACGTGGTTGCACTAGCCATGATGTTGGCTGCCGTGTTCAGCGCTGCCATGCATCGGCCCTTTCTCAGCGCGGTGGCTGAGCAGTCCAGGGCAACCAATGCAGAAGAGCATGCCGTGTCCACGATGTAACTTGGCCCCTTCAGCCCTAGAGCGTAGGAGATTCGGCCAGCTGAGACAGAGAAGGACATTCCTGTGGCCGTGTAAGGACTGATCTTCTTGAAGTCCCAGCTCTGCATTTGGATCCAGTCGTTGTTCGCAAGACCCACGTGGACGGCCACCTGACAAGGGCCGACAAACGCATCGGCAGGCACTTGCTGGTTCAGTTTTTAGTTTTTAGCCCAAAAAGCCCCAGAGATCTGAAACAGTGATGATCTGAGAAAGACCTCTCAGTACCCCAGACACGCCCTGCCTCGCTTCCCATCAGCTCCGCCTTCGTGATCCCTGAATCCAGCAGACCGTTCATCGACGTCTCGAGTAGCAGTCTCTGCTGAGGGTCCATCGCCCGTGCCTGCAACGAGGGTCGGGGATGCTTGGGGAAAGGGGTTCTTGGATTTCGGGTTTGTCAGATCGCCTCAGTGTGCTCCTCACTTCGCCCTGTTACTCATGCAATCATCGACGGAGAGGCAGCAAGGCTTGACGGCTTCATGTGTGCCGGTTTCCTCTTACTACCAGGATCTGTGAGGGGATGCCCTTTTAGGGGGGAGCATCCCTCCTTGTTGCTTCAGAACCCGAAAGCTGCCGTAGATCCCGTTAGAGTCATTGTGGAGCTGACTGGTTTTCGTATCTTTCGAGGTTCTGAGAAGGCATAAAATCAAAAAGCGAGCGCAAGCCGAACGATCCGAGAAAGCAAGCTCTAGATGCCTCCGGCGGTGAGATGCCGAAGTACTTGGCATCGAAGAACTCCGCACCTGCGCAGCTCTGGGTTTCTCTTATGACCAAAACAGGGCAAAGCCGCTGACGTGGCGCCTTCGACAAAGTTGCCGTGCCGTGGATACCTCGGAGAGACGGTGACTATCAGAACATGTCAGCGAGCAGCCCTCATATTACCCCCTATGCTACAAGTAACCGTGATTGTAACCCCTGAAATCTTGGGGTCACGTCTCTTCTGCAGCACAGGGGCATCTTGCCCTGGGCATCTGGGTTCGGGTCCCAGACCTCTTCCAGCTCCCAGCGGATGAAGGGCACTTCCACGCCGCCATCCACTCCCTGAGCACTGACGAGGCCGCTTTGGGGTGTATTGAACGATTGACAAGGGTTCAAATTTCGCGCGAGGGTCGGATGGCTTGTTCCGATCTCTGAGAAGCAGAAGGAAGGAACTTACACCGAAGCGCCGGGACGTTCAAGCCCTGCGCCCAGCTTTAAGTCGGAACCTCTAACCCCAGCTGCCTTGGTCAGAGCGGAGTGGAAGGTCTTGCAGCTGGATGATGCGCCAGGGAAGTATGCAGCCTTCAGCCAGCACTGCTGATCTAACCTCTCTGTTGGAAGGGAGCCCTGCCATAAGGGAAAGGGCTGGAATGCTAGGGCTTACTGTAAGTCAGGCTTGGATAACTTGCTATCGATTCTTTTGCTCAACTGGTGGATCTGTTCAGCCGATTTTCTCCTATGTGCTGCTTGACTTTCGTAAACTCCGAAGTTGACGAGGCCGCTCGGGCGAAATAAGAATAGCTCCTGAAGGCCTGTCAAATTTGACTTCCTGGTGCTCCTTCGATTCAACGTACACGTGCCAAGCAGGCTTTGATGCTGTTGGCTAGCGGGGCCTCACCTAAACGCAATTATTCCTGACCCCCCCCTAAACCCTAAACCCTACACTTTAAACCCCCGGATGCAACTTGCAGAACGAAGCACCATTCCTGCAACGGAGAGCTGCTCATCCAAACTCCCTGGTGGGCCTCTGGGGGCTGCACCTGCCAAAGAGACGGACCAGACGGCGGCGACGCTGATGTATCTTCAACATCGACATCATTATCGATATCTTCACCGTCTGTCACCACTATCACTGACTTTGTCAAATTCAGCCCTCATCACAGGGCGTGCACATCGGGCGAGAGCAGGGGCGGTCCTGCAATGGCAATCGGAGAAGAAGTGGTGCCCAGCTGCTCTGTGGCGTAGCCAGCGACGCTAGCGATCGTGGGATAGTCAAAGATCAGCCTTGCCATGACGGCTTTGAACTTTGCACGGAAGGCCTGCTGCACCAATGCAGCCCGAGCCACGTATTCGGCAAGTCCAGGGAAGGAAGCTCGCTTGAGAGTCGATTGCGGAACTCTACTGCGGAGAGCGAATCCATGCCTCTGCAAGTACGTGGGCAGGTCTGGTGGATCCACGCTTCGTACGCGAGAACCCTACACCATGGGCATTACGAGGCAGTCGTGTGCTAACAGTATCGGGAAGTCTGCTAAAATAGAATAGGGTTTTGGCGTATATTGTAGTACGCAGAAGAACAGACCATAAAGGGATAACACTAATTCCGACAACTATTTTAGCTTCCATCGCGTAGGGGCACCAGATTCCATCAAGGGCTTGTCTTCCTCGACGAGGCCACCCGTCGTGTCGGAAGCAATGCGCTTCAGAAGCTCCTTCACCTGCCAACACTGTCTCTCGCATCGCCCCCCCACCCACCCACCCGCCTTCGCAGACAACCCATGAAAGCTATTGCACTACTTGCATCATGCATAAAGTGTAGGGGGCAGGAGGAACAATGCTTCTTTGAACAAGACCTTTCACATTGGCTGTCATCATCACCGCCATCATCACCTCAATGGCCTCTGTCGGGCTCGGGCCAGCAGGAACCATGGCCTCCGGCAGACCGTTGGCCATCGCCTCAAAGGCTTCGGACAAGTTCTCGCATTTCAAGGTTTCTGAAGGGAACCTGGGCTCCTGGCCGGACCTGGCGCTGGTCCCATCTGGCTGGCCGTGAAGTCGGCAATGGAGGAGATTGTGGGATAATCGAAGATCAGCGTATTCGGCAGGTTGACTCCTGCCAAGGACGTCTTGCAAAGACAGCGCCGTAGTCAACACAGGACGAACGGGACTGGGCACAAGTCTCCTGGCATCTTGCTCGTGAACCGATTCCGGAACTCCACAGCTGAGAGCGAGTCCATTCCTAGGCTAGACCCCTTTCTGCACTCTTCCTGATGTGAAACCTGGGCCTTACATTTACATGTAAGAGCCGACTGTTTGCAGAAGCGCTTCCGGAGTCCATGAGGGGAGCATCCTGATCCACCACTCCGCCACCGGCCACTTCCGAAGCAATGCTCTGAAGCATCTGCCTCAGAGACACCTGGTAGCCAAAGTCGAAACACTGCCAGGAAGTGCACTAGCTGCATCTATGCTACTTAATTACCGTGACCTGAGAAACACCGAGCAGTGGTTGCATCATCTCCGAGTTTGGAAAATCTGTTTATTTACCCAAGGACTCTTGAAACGTCCGCGCCTTGTCCACCTGCGGCACTGCGGCTGGGATCGCCGCCCGCATGCCCCCAAAGGCAGGAGCCGCGGCCTTCTTCGGCTTGGCCGTCTTCACCTGCTCGCGGTTGTTTGGTGTCTGCTGAGTGTGTAGGTGCAATACATTGTTGTAGCTATGTATGTATGTATGTATGTATGTATGTATGTATGCATGTATGTACGTATGTATGTGCATAATATGCTCGTGTATGTATGTGTGTATGTGTATATATATATATACATATATATATATATGTATGCCAATATTATGTGCATAGGTATGTATATAAACATATACAGATCTATATATATATATATACAAATAACAGGCATATACATATATGTATATGTATCCACTGTGTATATATATATACAGACTCAGATATGGGTATAGATATATATGTAGAGTTAGTTTTAGGTAGATAGTGTGTCTGCAGCCACACATACATACATACATACATACATACATACATACACACATACAGACACGCTGTGTATGATGCACTGCACATGGATCTGGCTACATGTATATGTGGCATGTACCAGATATACACATATACATGTACAGAAACATCTACACCTACTTCTGCATATACATCTACACCTACATGTACCTACACATATACCTATACACATCTCTATACATATGCATACATTTGTTCATCCATCCATAGATACATGCATACATACATACATACATACATACATACATACAGAAACTTTACAATGGCTGTGCAAAGCATCTTCCGGCCTCGCTGGCAAAGCGGGACAGGAAGGGCGGGACTTTCGGATACTGCTTGAGGTACACTGCCCAGCGCATTGGTTGTGCCACGATCGTTGTTGAGGACAGCGATTGCAAGCACCCGGCAAGAGCCGCCATGCCAAAGGCATTAGTGAGGCTTCCCACACCGGATGCCCGAAGTCGTTCAACCGTGCCCTTCTGAGCTGCCATACCCACTTCTTTCCAGGGCCCCCATTGCACGGAAACGACGGGCTCCTGCAAGGACTTCTTCCAGTAGCGCGCATGGCCATCCAAAGCTGCGTTGGCCGCAGAATAGTTGCCCTGACCTCGTCAGCCCAAGCTAGGACTAAGGCCCAAATCTTAGGCACTCAGACTCCAGACTTTAAGCGTTTCAACCCTTGCCAAGATCTCACTTGGAACTGTGCATGGTGCTCGTCTTCGGGGTTCAAAAGCACCGAATCTGTTCCCTGTGTACGTTGCAACGTTGGATCTAAGATACAAGGGGCCCCTTTTTGTGAAGATCACCAATCCCGAAACCCTAAACCCCTTAAAAACCCTCAAAAACCCGAAACCCCTCAAGTTGCTAAGATGAAGAAAGACCACCCTAAAACCCTCAAAAACCCTCAAAAACCCGAAACCCCTCAAGTTCCTAAGAAGAAGAAAGGCCCAGCGCAGGCCTGGCGAGCCCAGGAGAGCGGAGGTCGAGGAGAAGAGCAGGGCAAAGTCCCAGGGGCTCGAGCTCTGAAGGCAAAAGCGGAGATGCCGGGCTCCCCAGACCTTGTTCATGGTTGGGGTAGTATTAACAATTTAAATTTATATTCCTTATTATTGGGTTTAAGTACCCTTAAAAATGTAAAATGTTACCCAACTATGACAAAGAGACTTTGGCCCCGTAGGATCTTTCCAGGTGGCCTCGGGTTAGCTTGGGGAGTGTGGCATCATCCAGGACGGCCGCCAGGTGGATAAGCCCAGCTGTTTGCTTCTTCTCGTCCCGGAGCTTTTGGGCCAAGGACTGCACGGCATCCAAGACTCCAATGTCGCAAGGGCTCGCCTGCAACTCCACACTGGAGTCTTGCAGGGCTTTCCAGAGCTCTGTAATGTCTGCCGACGGCCCTTGGTATCACGTACGCTTGCCCCCCAAGCCTGCAAGAATGCCTGGGAAAAGAAATTAGGGCACAACTTCTACAACGGCCTGTGCGTATACTGCAACCCATATCACACACCAAAATATCTTTCCGATTCGTTCTCTTCTTGCAGTCGTTGGTAATGTTGCCGTTGCTACCATGATTGCTACCCCCCAACCCCTATTCTAAATATTAAGGCCCCTAAACCCTAAACCCTTATAGTAGCCCTTATAGTATCCCTTAAAGGAACCCTTAAAAGGGACCCCCAAACCCTATTCTAACTATTAAGGCCCCTTTTTTTAATGAGAACTCCAAGACGCGGCCACTACGGGAAAGCAGGGTCATCGACTTCGCCCCCTCCTCCAGGAGGTACCTGGGATTTTTTGCAGATGAAAGCTATAGAGAATCCGTTTCGGCTTTAGGGTCTAGGGTTTAGGGCGTTATACTAAGCCCTTATAGGCGCTAGACTCGAAAAGCCTAAACCCCGACACCTAAGCCGGTTGAAGCCATCATGAAGCCGCAAGGTGGTGGGCTGCACATGGGTGGTTGTCAAAATTATGGTCCCTTTTTGGGTCCGTAATATAATACGGCACCTAGTATTTAACCCTAAACCCTAAACCCTAAACCCTAAACCCAAAAAGGGACCCTAATTTTGACAACCACCCGCATTGCAACCAAGCAGCTGGGCCGTGACCATGCCAAGAGCTCCCATTCCTTGCGGGTTTAGGGTTTAGGGTTTAGGGTTTCGGGGTATAGGGATGTTTGGGGATGTTTAGGACTTAGGATCTAGAGTGAGGGTTTAGGGCTCAGGGTATAGGGCTCGGGGTTTAGGGTTTAGGGATGTTTGGGGATGTTTAGGACTTGGAATTTGGAGTGCGGGTTTAGGGGCCCAGATGGAGACGGAAAGAAGAACTCATGGCTTTAAGGAGGTTGATGAGGAAAGAGACATGATGGCCAGGTAGAAAATCAGACCAAACTGGGCTTTAATTAGCAAAAAGACCTTATATAGACCAAGCCAGGATGCCTCCACTGAGGACATAGTGGGACTCCGGCTTGAGTGCCAGAGTGCTGGGCTGGCTAATCACAACTTTTCCGATGTTCTGCGCGCGCTGAAGGAACTGCATTGCCTTGACTCCCGTCTCCATGCCGTCAAAGACATGCATGTTGATGGGCTTCAGACCACCTTCCACATCATAACAGGGAGGAACTACTCTGTGTAAAGAGCCCCTGCACCCTGCAGAGAAGCACAGCGGCTTCTGCTCTCTATTAATTGGGCCGTGGCCTTCGTCCACGCGGCTGATGAGGCGCTTCATGTAACCGTTGTAACGCCACGGCTCCTAGTTCATGATCTTTTCTTTGATCGAAACTAACAAAACAAGCATGAAACAACTCTCTCGTCTCTGAAGTGCTCAGTTGCCCGTCCTTGTCCATCATGGTGTCTGCCGCGATCTTTTCGTACATGACATCTGGCCGAGCCTCGAACATCTGCTCGTGACTCCAAATGCCGCGCTTGCCAATCTCCATGAAACGGCCACCCTTGCGAAGAAGAGCCAAAGATCGTGGAATGTAGTCGTCGTGGCCTAAGGCAGCAAGCTAATGCAAGCTGGTTGGATGAATCAGATGCATACGTCAGTATGACTAGACATTTCCTTTGGTTTCATAGTAGGGATCTCATGTTCAGACTGTCGAAGCATCTCTGAAATAGCTCGATATTCGGGGCAAGAGGCTGAGACTGTTCAGCACCACATCAATTCCATCATCGCCGGCTTCAGCCAGGAAAGCTTTCATGTCATCTTCAAACTTTGCACCGTTCCTGCTGCTCGTGATGTACTTCACCCCCATGGATCGGAGGAACTGGTGCTTCTCGTCAGCCCCAGCAGTGGCATACACCTGAGCAGATTGCAAGCAGTGCTTTCTTGAGCTGATCTCGCGTTCCTCCGACTCTGAGCCCACACCCCAAACCCTAAACCCTGGACCCTATCCTTAAAACCCTAAAAGCTCTAGACCCTTGTACCCTAAACCCCAGACCCTAAAACCTAAACCCGTAACCAAACCCTGAAAGCCAAAACCCCAAACTCTAAACCCCAAACCACAAAGGGCCCTAAACCCAAAGTCCTAAAAACCCCCATCCCCAAAGCCCAAAGCCCAAAGCCCTCGAGCCGGCTGCCTCGGCTCCGACGAACTGCGCGTACTGGATCGCCACGAGGCCGACGCCGCCAGCCGCGGCGTGGATGAGCACGCGCTCCCCTCGCTTCAGCTGGGCCAAATCACCCAAGGCCTCTTCCACCGTGACGAAGATCACGGGCATGCAGCAGGCCTGTGCAGAGGAGATACTTGGAGGTTCATGGGTAGCTATATGTGGGGTTATAAGTAGGGTAACTATAGTTACAACCCATGTTAAGAGACTTATAACCCCACTTATAACTACCCATGAACCTCCAAGTAGGAGACTTCAGAGGGATACGAAGCTCACAGGGCTCATCCCCTAAACCCTACACCGTAAATCCTAACCCTGAAATTAGGCGGAACCCTAAACCAAAGATACGAAACCCTAAACCAATGATACTGAACCCCAAATCAAAAATACTAAACCCGAAACCACAAATACGAAACCCCAAACCAAGGACTAAACCCTAAACCAAAGATACTAAACCCTAAACCCCAGAAAAAGAAAAAAGGAAAGAAGAAAAAATGCCCGTCTTGCGCCTCCTCGAAGGACCAGCTCGTTGGCTTAGGGGTCAAAAGCGCGCCGGGACCCGCGTTGTAGACTTTGAGGCACCCGGGCGACTCGCCAAAGACATCGTCGCCACGACCTCAAAAGAAAGTACAAACTAGGTGATAGGTAGATAGGTAATTACACATGAATATGGAAGGGGGTGCGATGCTTTGAGAGTGGGGGAAGTTCAATCTTCCGAGCAGCGAATATGCGAAATGGCACTGCCGGTCGAGAGTACAGTACCTCAGAGCATCCGGACACAGCAGCCCTCTTCCTCTTGCTTGGACTGTCGCTGTCGTTGACTCCACCCAGCGTAACGTCTGAGGCCTGAACCTGCACTGTCTGCACCGGGAGGGCCAGGATCTCCAGGATAGAGGCCTCACGCAGCCACTCAAGCAGGAATATAAGCTGAGAAACTGCAGTCACGGTGTAGCAGTAGTACTAGTACTCGTACCACTACGACCCCGACGACGGTGAAGAGTAGACGAATGATCACGTTCGGGTAGAATTGCCAATAGTATGCGACTAGAAGCACAAGCGAAATCAGATTGGACCAAGCTGCCCATCACGTTTAGTACGTCCCTGAAGTTGAGGCCGACTGCTCGCACCCGCAGCTCCTGCGACGAGTACGCACTCCCAGCATCAGTACCGTCATCAGTGAACCGCTGCCCGTTTAAGAGGGATGCTTCTACCGGCAGCCGTCGGAACTTCTGAAAATGTCAGCACTGCAAGCATTGTCAAGATGGTTGATGCTGATATCACTGTGAGACTTGCGCCGAGCAAAAAGTTGGAGGTCAAATGACCCTAACCCCTTCAAAATGCAATCCGGCCAAAGGTGCAAGCTTCAGCAAAGTTGCAAGAAACCAGGCCTGAATGCAGCTGTTTGGTTGATTGTCATGTTGAATTCAATTGCTGAGCAAATCGAGCATGTCCTACTTCCTACCCGGAACCCAGCCCGCTCCGCTTCTGTCGCTTCCGGCGCCCGTCGGGACTCCTGGGTGATAGGCCTGCATCCATACGTAGCTAGGCTTCTCTCGAGCTCTTCAAGGTTGCGTAGGATCGTGGGATCAGCGCGACTGCAACGAAACATTGAAGATTCAGAGAAGCTGCTGAGAAGCTCCGCGAGACGGGCAAAATCAGCATTCAAGATGGAAAACCCGCCTGAGGTTGGAGAGGCTCCCGCGCGAGGACATGAGGAGCTCCGTGGCCTTCATCGGTATCGCCTTGCTTCGGGAGAGGCGCGAGACGCTGGCGGATCCACCACTCGCGGCACTGGTAACCACCACCTCCGTCTCGGCTTCCGTTCCCTTCAAGACCGTCAGCCAATGCTTCAAGTCGGAGACCAGGTCATCGCAAGTGGCGAGCGACCCATCCAGATCCAGGCATCGAAGCTCAACTCCACGTTCCTCCATGCGGAAGGTTCGTGCAAGTCCCCAGAGACCGGAGTGCATGTAGCTGCGGATCGTACCTTCCTGAGTGCCATGTGTGACCCACCAGATGGGTGGCACACCCGACTTAGCAGCAGCCCGCTGGGCGGCAATCTGAGCCAAGACGAGCGCTGAATGCAAGACATCCATCTCGTTGGCTTCTCCCAGGGCGGCCACGTGAACCACGGCAGTGATGCCGCCTTGCTGGAGCTTCTGTTCCAACGATTCCTGCACAGGGGCTCTGCTTAGCTGATGTCCTCAATCCGGGTTAGGGCACGACGACGCAGCAGAATCTAGAATATAATGTGCACACGACGATTATGTTGCGGCATCATTGCGTTTCATTTAACAGTTGGTACTGCATACACTGGCTACTGACAAACCCACCTTCATTTATGCCACTAATCCCCAACATCCCCCTAAACCCTTCTAATTAGTTACCGTATGGTAACCCTTACAGTTATGCGTTTATGATCTCTCTATACCCTAAC